GCAACCTAAATACAGTCTGTCAAATTCTTACTTGGCAACTTGCTGTTGGAGCTCACTCTTGGATTCATCCTGCAAATGTCATGATATCCTAAAATCTATTTAAAAAAGATTATGCGCTAGTCATTTCTCAACTCAAACGCTATCCAACGTGCTTTTCACCCACTGCAGAAAGGATACAAGAAAGCCATCTTCCCCCAGCCTGAAATGAAAGAGGAGCTTTTGAACTGGAAAATGGCCAGTGAGGAAAGAGTTAAGCAGCTTCTCCATAGCTGCCCTTAACTCAGGCAGGCATCCTTCTTAAATTGCTTGGCTTAAAAAAAAAAAAGCTGCAAAACTTTTACACAAACTCCTTAGATAAATGAAAATAAAGACACAGAACTCCATGTATTGTTGCTTGTACTTCAATTCTCTTACAAAGTTATGCATAGCTAAACAGAAGCAGACAGAAAGCACACCTCATCATCACTTGTATGTACCCCTCCCTTGCCAAATAAATGCCTCTACTTGTGGTCTTAAAATCACAGCTGAAGGCTTTCCATTTTAACCCTTTTACCATAAACTTCTTAATATGTTTAAAAGGCTGAGAACCATGAATGATGAGCTCTGCATGCACCGCAACTAAAGCACTCAGTTAACAATTTACAAAGTCAGCTTCAAGTCACACTGAAAGCATAATAAACTTGAGTGCTCATATCTTCAAATCCTCTCATTTGTATTTAAAACATTTGCAGGTGATCCAGGCATGCACTTTGAATGCATTAAAGTCAATCTTATAGGATTTATTGAAAAGCAACCAAATAATTCAAGGAAGCACTTTAAAACAGAAAGGATGCGTCACAAGTGTTTTGTATGGCCAGTTAAGGCCTCCTGTGATTTCAGGGCACATTGAGAATGCCACCATGCACAAAATCTGATCAAATATGCCAGCTGTCAGATCATTTGTCCTGCCAGCTCAGTACTGTGTCTGCACTAGAGATAGCTAACATGGTGCACTCCAGATATTGTTGCAGACCAATTGCCCTCAGCCGATGGTCAGAGCAGGTGGCCAGTTGTATTCCTGTAACATCTGAAGTTTGTTAAAATGGAAGGGCTGCGGAAACCACCTACGATGCAAACATTTGTCCACTACTTCCAACATGACTGCTAAGATCGAGGGAGATGGAACATGCAGCAAGGTATTGTGTTTGCTGCTGATGCTAGCTCAAACAACTAATTGCCATTATTTGCTTTCTGCAGTAAAGATGGCCAGGTCTTAGCTAACCCTGCCGACGTCCTTAACCCTAGCTTGGCACTTTGGCAGAAGCTTTCCTCACCCAAGATATCCCTCCTAAGAAAAGTCTCACCTGCTAACATTCTGCACAACATGCTGCAGAGCTAAACGCCCCGGACCGAGACCAGCAAAAATGAATGGGAACCCTCTGTGCAATATTTGCCTGGCTCGTTATATAGAAGTCTTCAAAGAGATGCAAATGAATGAAAAGCTTGCTCAAGTAATCAGCATGCAAGGGCAATCTTTCAAGGAGAAACCTTAAATATTAGCTGAATCAACCAAGGAGAATTAAACCCAAAGGAAAACACATTAAAGCAGCAAATGGAATGGCAAGAATGGCAGACCCTCTTTTATGCTAGGGTTGGTGAACCTCTCCCTTTGGCAGATGTTGCTGGACTGCAATTCTTGTAATCCCCAGCTATGCTGGTTGAAACTAATGGGGCTCTGGAGTCCAAGTTCAGATAGAGGGACGCAGGTTGTTCACCCCGACTTCCTGCTGTACTTCCTGCTCAAATGTTTTCAATTCCCTCTCCCCTTTCTAAAAACTCATGCTACTCTATGAACCCATCAACTCCCTGGTCGTCATTTCTTTTGCAGGCAAAATGCTCTGGGCAGTCCAGGACCCTGGCTTGGAGCACTAATCCCATAGGAAGGGGATTCCCTGCTAAAGTCTGCCAGCCAAGGAATGAGGTTGACCAGTCCTCCCATAGGCTCTCTGCCTCTCTTCAGCTCCCACGATTCGCCTAGCTAGTTGGCCACCCATACTACCCTGAACACGCCCGATCTCGTCTGATCTCGGAAGCTAAGCAGGGTCAGGCCTGGTTAGTACTTGGATGGGAGACCGCCTGGGAATACCAGGTGTTGTAGGAAGTAAGTGGTCTCTAGCACTGCCCTGCTGTGAGAGCCTATCTGTCCTTGGCAGCCTGTGCCACTATCAACATAATCAACATCCCTAGGGCCTGCCCTATAATTTGAGAACGCTCTGTTCCAAGCACTTTCACAAGAATGCACAAAGCAATGCTAACCTGCTGCTGCCACCACCAAGACTGTGAAGAGCAGTGGAGTTACTGCAGCATCTACAACCTGGCAGCAGCTATGGGAGGTCAGGAGGGGCAGGCACATCAGGATAATTCCCAACACCAGCTTCAGGCTGGTCCCTGGCCCTTTGTCAGCCAGGGCTGGCTAAGAGAGCGGCTTGGGATCCAGCTCAGCTCCATCCATTGAGGTCTGCATCAACCGAGTGACACCAATTGTAGTGTCACTCCATCAGTGGCAGACAGCCACTCAATCAACCAACGTCCCCGTCCCTTGCCCCATTGACCAGCATTGGGTGGGAGGAGATTGCAGTTTCTCCAATTGAGTGCGAAAGAATCTTATCTGAGATTGAGAGGGCTCCCTTATCTGGATCAGGATAAACTCTGAGAATCTTTGATAGGATATTTTGTGGAATTCTGGGATCTGAAAAAAGAGGAAGTGGAAGATTGGGTGGAGAAAGCTTACGGATTTGGTCCTAAAAAAGAGACTAAAATAACCCACGGTTGTATTGTGGTCTTTAAGACCAGGGAACCAAGAGATATCATTCTGGGACTTCATTATAAAAAAGGCCTCAAAGTCCTCGATAAGTCCGTTGTGCTCTTCAAAGAGGTTCCTAGGCATTTTTTGAACCTGAGATCCCAGTATAGGGACCTGACAGATATTCTGAGGAGAAAGAACTTTTTTTTTTAGGTGGGAATTTCCAGAGGGCCTATCTTTCAAATTTGAAGGAAGAAAGCAAAAGATTAAGAACCTTGAGGAGAAGCACAGAACCATGTTTTAAGCCAATGTGATGGTTCTCGTGCTATGGATCAGAATCTGGGCAGGGGGACAGGCAGAAGAAGGAGGTTGCACAATATCTTAAAAGGCTGCCAACACAACTCTGGGAAGGTCTGCCATTGTTAGAAGATGAACATCAGCCATATTGATCCCCCAAACAACTTCTGGGTTGTTGTTGTATACTACCTAAGTTCAAGTTAGACGAGATGCCAAGATATATCTTAAAAGAAGCAACATGGACCTCTCAAAGTGGATCAGGAATGTGCCTGTGTGGTGGTGATCCTTTCTCCTCAGTTTCACAGTCTAGATCCAAATCCAGCTGCTCCTTTATGGAAAACATGTGCGCATGATTTCCCCCAGCGGAACAAAAAACAAGGCGGGGAAGGGGGAGAACATTGAAGGGTAAAAAGGGTACAGCACCATTTCCTTAGCACCACACTCCTGTTCAAATTCCACGACCCCTACAACTGCTTTTAAGAGAGATCTAATTGCTCCTCTCTCACTTGTCTGACCCTTAATCAGCTAGAGGAAGAGACATCACTAATATATTAATTGCAGTCCAAAAGATTCTCACACTACTGCTCTATAGTGCAATCTTGCTGCAGAGGTCACTGAGAACCCATGTAGGAGAATATAATGGTGCAGACAAGTGTAACATCTGAAGTATGGCAAAAGAAGTTAGAATATGTACTCTAGAATGCGCTTTCAGGTGACCAAGTAATTTCACAATACATAAGTCTATCATTAGTGTAATATATTTTTATTTTAAAATATTTACACCTATGGACAAGAAGGTCTATGTACCCACTCCATAGTGGGTTTTTGGGAGTAACTATCGATCAGGGCATGACTTGGAGCGCACATACCACTGCTCTGGTGAAGAAGGCCCAGCAAAGAATTTATTTCCTCAGACTTTTAAAGAAGAACAATCTGAGTGAGAGACTGCTGGTGTCCTTCTACCGAGGCTCCATAGAGAGCATTCTTACATACTGTATTTGTGCTTGGTTCTCCAGTTGTACAGCTAGGGAGAGGAAGGTGCTCCAGAAGGTCATAACCACAGCCCAAAGGATTATTGGTCATCCTCTCCCATCTTTGGAAGAACTGTACGGTTCCCGTTGTCTTAGGAAAGCAAATAACATCCTGCAGGATTCATCTCACCCGGGACACAGTCTGTTTGCACTACTGCCTTCTGGCAGGAGATATAGAAACATCAAGTCAAAGACAAATAGACTGAAAAACAGTTTCTATCCAAGAGCTGTGGCCTTTTTGAATGCTGTAACTCGATAGTGTGACCTGGGAGTTTGATGGGTGTTGGTGTGGGTGTGGCTGGAATGTGGTTTGTTTGGTTGTTGTTGTTGTTTTGCTTTTGTTGTTTTAAGGGATGGCATCCAATTTCGTTGCACTTTGTGCAATGTTGCACTTGTGTAATGACAATAAAGAATCTATTCTATTCTATTCTATTCTATTCTATTCTATTTTAAAATATTTACACCTATGGACAAGAAGGTCTATGTACCCACTCCATAGGGGAGGGTGGAGTCATTCTGATAAATTTTAAGGGCTCCTCCAGTTTAGGAAGTTTAAAGCACACTGCTCTCATCTACATATTTAGATGTCTACAAGGAAAAAAATCTGCAACAGACCATTATTACTATTATTATACCATTATTATTATTATTATTATTATTATTATTATTATTATTATTATTATTATTAGACAACTGCAGTTCCAGCCCATTCAGAGCTGTGGGTATAGAGTGCTATACAAATTTAATAAATAGCAATTTATTTTTATTTTTATTATTATTATTTTCTGAAGGTACGCTCACAAACTATAGTCTGTGATAAGAGCTGCCATGCCAAACTGAAGCCTCAACCAGCACACATGCTTTAGGACAATTCAATATTAAAGACTTACCTTGAGGAAAATAATTTGGTTGCACTAAATAGAGGAAAGTGTGGACCAATCGAAACAAAATCCCTATTGCTCCAGGTTCGTGGTACGCTGCGGTGTCGTAAGTCTTTGCAGGAACAAACCCAAAATCCAGAGTTTCAGAAGGCGGTTGGTATAAAGGCTGCACTTCGGAAATCGTTCTTCCACAAAACAGTAACAGGAGCAGTAGACACAGTTCCCCAGCCATGACTGACCAAAATGCATAAAATGAGGTAGAAGTTGGGGGGAGCGGGGCTCAAATATTCTGCACAGATCCGTCAAGCAAAACAGGAGTCTTTCCTCGGCTGTTTCCTCAATCCAGAATGTGCACTTGCTTCCGAAGGCTTTTTTTGGCAGCTCTTCACAGGATTCAGTTAGGGCTCCATCTCTGGCAATGAGAGAAAACAGCTGTTTATTAAGTGGCATTTCAACCCACAAGGAAGCCTAACAACAGTGTGAAACACACACAGTCGCCTGTAACGTTTTAACACACTGCCATGTTGGAAAGATAAACAGATAGGTGTGATCCTGTGCAACACTGAAAGATGGGGCTTTCCACTACTGTAAAGAGGGAGGGTAAAGATTGCTCAGAATTCTTTTGTGCAACACTGAGTCTTTGAAAGAGAAAAACTAAAATTAAAAGCAGCATTTCCCATTGATGATGATGATGATTTTATTATTGGTACCCTGCTCATCTGATTGAATTGCCCCAGCCACTCTGGGTGGCTTCCAACAAATTATAAAAACACAATAAAACATCAAAACATTTAAACTTTCTCAGAGGGCTGCCTTCAGATGTCTTCTAAATGTTTATGTCCTAGACATCTGATGGGAGGGTGTTCCACAAGATGGGTGCCACTACCAAGAAGGCCCTCTACCTTGTTCCCTGTAACTTTATTTCTCACTGCGAGGGAACTGCCAGAAGGCCCTCAGAGCTAAACCTCAGTGTCCAGGCTGAGCAAAGAGGGTGGATACCCTCCTTCAGGTACACTGGGCTGAGGCTGTTTAGGGCTTTAAAGGTCAGCACCAACACATTGAATTGTGCTCAGAACCATACTGGGAGCCAATGTAGATCCTTTAGGACCGGTGTTATATGGTCCCAGAAGCCTATCCCAGTCACCAGTCTAGCAGCCACTTTCTGGATTAGTTGTAGTTTCCAAGCGCATTTCAGTAGTCCAAGCAGAAGATAACTAGAACATGAACCACTCTGGCAAGACAGTGCACAGGCAGGTAGGCTCTCAGCCAGCGCACCAAATGGAGCTGGTAGACAGCCATCCTGGATGAAGAATTAACCTGCACCTCCACGGACAACTGTGAGTCCAGAATGACCCCAAGGCTGCACACCTGGTTCTTTAGGTGCACAGTTACCCCATTCAGGACCAGAGAGTCCCCCACACCTGCCCCTCGTCCCCCCATCTTGTTGGGTTTCAACCTCAATCCATTGACAGCTATCTGTCCTCCTACCTCCTCTAGACATCCACACAGGACATTCACTGTCCTCACTAGTTCTGAATTCATCTGCATCCTGGAGAACACCCGGCCCAAATCCCTTGATGATCTCTCCCAGCGGCTTCATATAGATGTTGAAAAGCATGGGAGAGAGGATGGACCCCTGAGCACCCAGGGGTCTGAACACTCATCCCAACATCACTTACAGGGGCGGCACCAAGCTCCTCAAACAACAAGGCCTCCCTACCAAGTTCTCTCAAGGTTCAGTAATGACATTGGTTCCGCAGACACTGGGGACTTCTGGCCCTCTATATGTAGCTCAACTACAACTCCCATCAGCCCTAGCTTTCATAGCCAATGGCCAGTGATGATGGGAGTTGTAGTTCTGCAATATGTGGAGGGCATATTACCAGAAACATGTATTTTACAAGGATACCTCCTGTTTTTGCAATGGCCAACGCAACAGAGCCCTGTTCAGCAACCAATTTTCATCAAGGATCATTCTTTCAAACTCTGCAAAGGCCAAGGCATGGGCAAACAGAAGTGAATGGAAAGGCACAGGGTGGGGTGTTATCAAAGTCTCCTCTGCTGCTGACGGGGGGCCAGGTGGGGAAGGGAAGTGGTTAAAGGTACCACTTCCCATAAGCTCTCATTGCAAAGAAATGAACCCAATCATTAAGCATCAACATATATCCCAATCTAATGCCCCCCTCCTGTTCATCCCAGTGCACACAGAGTGCCTGCCTGAGTCAAAGCTTAATCAGGTTAAACACACTGAAGAGCCCTAATATTGGTCCCTTCTGTCTCACTGGGTCCCTATCCAACACCTCCTATTTCTGCCAAGTTTCCTCCAAAAGTAGATTTGGAAGCAGACGAGTATCATGAATCAAAATCAGCTCACAGTTCATTCATCCCATTGCTTTCTTTTCAAAGCTGGACATAATTGCCCCCCTCCATTCCAAATGGTAAACTATATTTGCTAGTTTACCAGTTAAAGATCAAAGTACTTAAATTCTCCAAAATGCCCCCAGGAGAGGAAACCTTACTAACCTTAACAGCAAAGCCAATAACCATATGCATTTTATATTAGTAAGCTCTAATCCAGCACATGAAAAGCAGTTTCAAGTTCTCTCCTAATACACAGCTGGGCAAATTAAGCTCCAGTTGGCAGGCAGTCCATTTCTGGTTTGCCAAAAAATTATCTGGACGGCATATATATTTGGATAACCTTTGTGAGTGAGAACAACGGAAACATCTCATCACACTCCCCTTTTCCACCTGCAGTTGGCTCAAGCAAGCAATTGACTGAAGAGAGAAGTTGTTGTTGTTTAGTCATTTAGAGATGTCCAACTCTTCGTGACCCCATGGACCAGAGCACGCCAGGCCCTCCTGTCTTCCACTGCCTCCCGCAGTTTGGTCAAACTCATGCTGGTAGCTTCAAGAACACTGTCCAACCATCTTGTCCTCTGTCGTCCCCTTCTTCTGCTCTCAATCTTTCCCAACATCAGGGTCTTTTCCAGGGAGTCTTCTCTTCTCATGAGGTGGCCAAAGTGTTGGAGCCTCAGCTTCCCGATCAGTCCTTCCAGTGAGCACTCAGGGCTGATTTCCTTCAGAATGGAGAGGTTTGATCTTCTTGCAGTCCATGGGACTCTCAAGAGTCTCCTCCAGCACCATAACTCAAAAGCACCAATTCTTCGGCCATCAGCCTTCTTTATGGTCCAGCTCTCACTTCCATACATCACTACTGGGAAAAGCAGAGCTTTGACTTTATGGGCCTTTGTTGGCAAGGTGATGTCTCTGCTTTTTAAGAGGCTGTCCAGGTTTGTCATTGCTTTTCTCCCAAGAAGCAGGCGTCTTTTAATTTCGTGGCTGCTGTCACCATCTGCAGTGATCATGGAGCCCAAGAAAGTAAAATCTCTCACTGCTTCCATTTCTTCCCCTTCTATTTGCCAGGAGGTGATGGGAGCAGTGGCCATGATCTTAGTTTTTTTGATGCTGAGCTTCAGGCCATATTTTGCGCTCTCCTCTTTCACCCTCATTAAAAGGTTCTCTTCTTAATTCCGTAAAAGAAGAGAGAAGTACTTAGAGGCAAATGTGCTTCTTCTGGATCCTAATGGTTTGCCTAGCTACGGACCCCTTCCCACCGAACTCAAAGGAGTAAATGCTAGGTGACCACCACACTAAGTGAGCTTCTCCTCCCCTAGGTCCTTCCCAAGCAAACTGAGACTTCTTCTCCTTGTCTCTTTGCTCCACCCTCTGTGGGTGCTGGGAGACCAGGGCAGGGAGAAGGCGACTTCTTCAGTAGCCTGGCTCATTTCTGCCTCTTCGCCCCATCCTCTCCAGCCTCTGCTTCTGGACTGTTCTCTGCCACAGGTGCTTCCTGCTCACTAAGCCCTGTTACCCCTGTCAGCTTCCAACCTCTTCCTCCCAGTCTGCTCCCTCTTCTCCACTCATTGATGTCCCACCAACACCACCCCCTGGGCTCTGAGCCTTCTTCCCTTGGGGGTTCCCCAGATGCTGCCCCCCCAACTTCTCTGCATCCGGTCAGTCCATGACAGGAAACAGACACAAATACAGAAACCAGAAATCTTTCAAGCCACTGCCTTGCCTGAACAAAAGAGAGAGAAGGTCAGACGCTCGTGGCATAGGGCACTCTCAAGGCTGGACACAGCATCAGACGTTTTATCAACACCAGTTCTTTTCCTCTCTCAAACTAGTTCTCTCTCTCTTTTTCTTTGTCTGATGTTTGGTTGTGGCAGAGATACAACTGGCTGCAAATATTTTTTCCTATGCCAAAAAATCCAAATGTTTAGTAATAATAATAATAATAATAATAATAATTTATTTATTCCCCAGCCACTCTGGGCAGCTTTCAAGAGAGCATTAAAAACAGAATAAAACTTCAAACATTAAAAACTTCCCTAAAGAGGGCTTCCTTCAGATGTCTTCTACAAGTCAGATAGTTGTTTATTTCTTTGACATCTGATGGGAGGGCGTTCCACAGGGTGGATGCCACTACTGAGAAGGCCCTCTGCCTGGTTCCCTGTAACTTGGCTTCTCGCAGTGAGAGAACCAACAGAAGGCCCTCAGAGCTGGACCTCAGTGTCCGGGCAGAACGATGGGGATGGAGACACTCCTTCAGGTATACTGGGTCAAGGCCGTAAACCTCATATATGCAGAGATACGGCCTATGAAGTGGCCATTCTGATATCACTGCAATTATTTTAAGCATTTCTTTCAGAAGTCTTTTTTGTATCAACTGCTCTTCGCATTGCTAAAGCAATCCTGACTTGCAGCTGGGAGCAGGAGGGCCGAATACAGCAGCAGAATCACCACTGCTATTTACCCTGGTCAGGGCAGAAAGTGGAGGGCTGGGTCCTGAATCACCTCCAGGCTGGCACAGAATAGAGAACCAAATTGGGCTTTCACTGCTAGCTGGATTGGCCTAGGATCCAGTGGGTCCTTGGCTGGCTCAGCTCCACCTCTCCTGTTTATACCAGGTACTGCTTGCAGTAGCTTTCACTCATGAGAAGATACCTCAACTGCATCCTAACCCCATCCAAGTTTAGCGGACTGGAATTTGGATTGCCCTGTAGGTTGTTAAGTTCTCAAATACATATGATCTAGTAGAGATAATCCCTTGACTATATGTACAGTAGGGACCCGGGTGGTGCTGTGGTCTAAACAACTGAACCTAGGGCTTGCCGATTGGAAGGCTGGCAGTTCGAATCCCCACGACAGGGTGAGCTCCTGTTGCTCGGTCCCTGCTTCTGCCAACCTAGCAGTTCGAAAGCAGGAATGCAAGTAGATAAATAGGTACCACTCCAGCGGGAAGGTAAATGGCGTTTCCATGCACTGCTCTGGTTTCGCCAGAAGCGGCTTAATCATGCCGGCCACATGACCTGGAAAAACTGTCTGCGGACAAATGCCAGCTCCCTTGGCCAGTAAAGCAAGATGAGCGCCGCAACCCCAAAGTTGTTCGCAACTGTCAGGGATCCTTTACCTTTACCTTTTTATATGTACAGTTTATAATGCAAGATAGTCATGGCCCAGACTATTTTCAAAGGGAATTTAAACTTGATTACATATGAAAAGGTTATCTACCCAGCGTATTCAGTACCTAAACCTCCACACAACATAAGAGTAATTTTGAGCTTCAATTCGTGGCATTTAATTTTTTATATAAACATCCTACTTACCCAACCTCTCCAGTTACTTGGATAATAAGGTTTTTGAGCCATTAAATGTGTACTTTCTTTTCCCAAGCGCAAAGATAAACCTGTAATAAAAAGAGCATACTTCTCTAATGTGTCCGACCAATGCACAAAGAGTAATAAATTCTTGGAAGCAGAAAACAACAGCATGCCTACTTCATGACAACAAAAATAAAGGGGGTAGTTTTGCTATATAAATAATGATTTTAACTGACAATGTATTTAGTTCAC